TGCTACAAATTAAGCCAATTACTTCTTGTCCTACCCTCAGTGGTTATGAAGAACAATGGATCACTTTCAAAAGATGTTCAACTGTAGATGGTGTGAAACATAAGTAAGCTCTTTGGGGTACGAATATCTCCTACTGTGTGAATGTGAAATGCCCAACGTAACGGGGCCCTGTTCATTTGAGCACTTGGATAACCCACAAAGCTCAGCCTACATTAGCAACAAAGCGTACAGCCTTCTTGTAATAATTTCTAAGGGGTCACCAGTACAAACTCAATTACAGCAGAGGATGGATGGGAGCGGCTGCGTGATCCAGTTCTGCTCATACTGGACTAAGGCCCACTGTTACTAGACAACTCAAAACTCACTCTGATGCCTCATTCTTCAAAGATATAGGAGTCCTAAATGCAGGGTCCATCTCTCCCTGAGTGTTTCTACAGTAGCCCAGCACAATTGGGCATCTGATGTTGCCTGGGCTCCCCAGGGTACTACCCCAATAGAAATAAACCATGAATTCCTAGATTTGTCCTGCAAGGATATTCAGAAAACCACCACCAGGAAATCGCTAATTTAATTTATAATTGTGGGCACCAGAGGGCACAGTTGTATCTCTTCACCCTCACCAGAGTTGCTTAAAAAAAAAAAAAAGTACTACAATGTATATTTAGACAAATTTCAGAGTAGCAGCCGTGTTAGTCTGTATCCGCAAAAAGAAGAACAGGAGTACTCTGTTCTTCTTTTTATTTAGACAAAGTACTAAATGTAGTTTAATCAATTTTTAATAAAATTGATTTTGTCCTTCTATATCCTCTCCCACCCCTCCCCCCCAACTCTTGGAAAACTACAAATCCTACTGAAATTTGACCTCAGCTGCTCCTCGCAAGGTAGATATTACAGATGAGGAATGGGAGATAGAGGTGATGTCACCATACAAGTCTGGGATAACTGGGACTAGAACCTCTGTTGTTTTAGGCCTGAACCACAAGACCACCGTTTTTCCTTTTAAGACCTCTTTTTAAAAAGGAGAGTTCTGATTGACAATAGATCTGAATTAAGACCACCCCCAAGGTGCGTTATCTTAAACTATTTTCATATTGGAGACATTGTAAATGCTTTCTCTCACATCACCAACTAGCTCCACTCTACTGGAAATCTGGGGTCTCTGAGCTAATCCCTAAGCACTACAGAGATGGTCATGGGTTCCTAGGCTCCACATTAAATCAGGTCAATTGTGGAAGAACAAAAACAGGCTTGTTGGATTAAAGGGTAAAATTATTACAAAAAGCAGCATTTGGAGAGGTAAGGAAAGGGCATCAAGTTGTCATGGCAATGGAAGGTCAGAGCTTTAAATAACTCTCACCCTATGCACCAGAGACCTCTTACTGGCCCGGCCTCACCAGACAGAGGATTTACTCCTTTACTGGTTACTTACAAGAGTTGCTTCATAATAGGTACAAATTACAGGGGTAACTTGGGCCAAGCTGATTAATTTTTCTTTTAAATGGAGGTTTATTTTAGCATTCATGAAAAGGAGACTAAGAACATATTGGCATATGTGCACACAGCTCATGTACTTCAGTCCCCATTTACAACCATCTCTGCTAGTACACCTCCCACTCTCCATCCCAGCTCTGCCCTACTCCACAATCTTAACTTGCAGCACCCTATGCTACCGTAGCCTGAAGCAGAGGGGGAAAAAGTAAATACAGAATTGGCCTGCAAATGCCACCAGTTTTCCCTTTGTTTCAAGGTTTGGGGGACTGTGGCTCAAAGCCATTGTAACAAGACCCTGGAGATGTGGCAGGAGGAGAATTTTGATGTCACAAAAAGCAAGG